TGCCTTGCTCAGCCAGTGAGCGGGAACCGGTCTGTATGTGGGATCCAAACCCTCGGGCGGGAGCGCCGCCGCGCTTCCCAAGCGGCGCACTATCCAGTGCGCCACCGGGCCGGCCCTGAGATTGTTTTCTAATCTTATGTCAAAACCTTAGTTCTATTTGTACTAGGTACACTCCTAGTTCATTAAAACTACAGAGTAACAGGTCTTTCTTCCATTCATCTGCCTTAGCCTTAGGTAGCAAATATAGCTAATTTGTAGGTTATAAATTTGTTTTTTCTTTATCATAGTGCCACATTTCTTTACTCTGATACCTTAGAGTTATAAAACAATCATTGAAGTAAAGGTTAAATGACCTGGGTTTTAGTTTTCTAACTTATTATGTAGACTTTTGTCTGTTCACTGCCTTGTTCATGGGGTATTGTAAGGATAAAATGAAATGAGAAAGTGCTTTAAATGAATAAAAATAAACAGCATTCAAACACAAGGTATTCTTATAATGGAAAGAAGATATTTTTTATTTTTCATAGTTTTGAAGAGGTTAAAGATCTCAAAAATCTTTAAAGTGCTGAAACTCTTAGATGATATGTAGGTAGAATTTTCTGTACCTAGTTATGAGTATGTATATGGCCAATGGCTTGATGTCTGTTTCTCCTGCCTCATTCCTTCAATTTTTTAAAAGTAGTTGTTTTCGCTTTTTCCAGATGAGCACACTTATTTCTGCCTCCCCCTCCTACCACCCAGTACACACATTTCTCCACAAAAAAATAATAAAATTTTTTTTCCTTAAAAGGGAGCTACCATTAAGAAGGATGAGCAGTCTGGGGCGATCGTTGTGGCTAGAATCATGAGAGGAGGCGCAGCAGACCGAAGTGGTAAGACTCTAAATGTTAAGATAGACAAATCAGGTTGGGTTCTGTAACATTTCCAATATGCAATGGTACTTCAAAGAAGTTTGTGGAACGAGAGAAGTAAAAGATAATTCAGATCTTTCCATGTACTTTTTGAAGTACCCTCGTACAATTAAGAGGATCACAATCTATTGATACAATACAGCAAATCAAGTAATAAGCTATGTTTCTCCGTGTTGAAATGTGAGAACCTATTTAAATAAATGATAGATAAATCTCTCTCTTTGGTCTTAGTGTACATAGGCTTCCAAAGTTATATTAAGACTTGTTTCAATGTTTCTGCTTTGAAAAGTATGATTAGAGTATGCAAACTTTAAAATAAATAAAAATTATTTTATAAGATATCAATAACGTGTATTTCTAGACAAAAACGTGTATTTCTAGACAAAGACCAAGATGATGTTCTGATTTCTTGGCCAACATTATTATGT